GAACTGTTCGAGAGAGATCCATATCATATTACTGTCATGTAAAATACTGTCATGTAAACTTTAATATTACTATTAAAGTTAAGAGAGATCCATATCATATTACTGTCATGTAAAATACTGTCATGTAAACTTTAATATTACTATTAAAGTTAAGAAAGATCCATATCATATTACTGTAAACTAGGGTTTGAAACTGTAGCACGTACATTAACATATTTTAGGCCTGGTGGTTAGAGCGCTCGACTTGCAATCTGCGAGTCGAATCCCCGTCACACCGAACATGTTCGTCCTTTCAGCCGTGGGTCGTTATAATGTTACCACTAACACTGAATGATCAGAAGTCTTCAGTAAACATACTCTCGGTTTAGCTACATGACTATTTTCTGCATTTATGACGCATCGTATTCACATACACAAGGATTTCAGTCAGACCACTTGTCCCTCAACACACGTGGACGTCAGATAACTAAATAATTTTCGTTATTATTATTATCGTTTCACATGTCTTTAGTTATCAGTTAATAAGTATAACTATATGATTTGTGTCCATTAATAAACATTTTCATAATAGTTATAGGTAACTGAAAAAAAAACTGGTTAAAACTAATAACTAAAGGGGCTAGGGACACGTGACAAGTGAAGGAATGGTGGGGTCTAAGACACTGCATGTGTTTAACTCCCCTGCACCCATCTGTGGCAACTCTTCTCAGCTTACAACGCTAAATGTCGGGTTTCGATACCCGTGGTGGGCAGAGCATAGATAGCCTGCTGTATAGCCTTGTGTTCCCATGATATAACCATTTTGGATGAAATATTATTTTCAATTAATTTTACAAAATATACCATATTATACTAAGTTATATATTAAGTTATATTTGTAGTATGTACTAAGAGAAATAAGCAGTAAAGATATTTGTTTTTATCGTTTTTCTTCTTCCTTCAGTATCTTGACCAGGTGGTTAGGGGGCACTTGACACGCAATCTGAGGGTCGCGGGTTCGAATCTCTGTCCCGTCAAACATGTTAGCCCTTTCAACCGTGGAGACGTTATAATGTTACGTTCAATCCCACTATTCGTTGGTAAAAGAGTTGGTGGTGGGTGGTGATGACTAGGTGCCTTCCTTCTAATCTTTCAATGCTAAATTAGGACGGTTAGCGCAGATAGCCCTCGTGTAGCTTTGCGCGAAATGCAAAACAAACCAAACTTTCAGTATCAATGTAAGAATGTTAAATGGACAAATTCGGTATGTTCGGATTTTAATCTCGATTTATTTTATAAAAATAGTTTTACTCAAAAAAAAAAGCATGTGTAATAAAAAAACTTTACTATTTGGCATGAAGATAATTTAAATTTATAAACATCGAAAACATTATAGCTGTGTTCCTAACAGGACTCAGAAATGGACAAAATCTATTTGTGTCTATGTACAAAATATCACCAGGCACGGTGTAGTGAATCCAATGAAGTTGTTATCCGAAATACTGGAAAAACACTAGTGTTAGTGAAATACACAGGTAGACTTTTGGACAAACCTGTGGTATTGTAACAGCTCTTTCTAACACTAGAATGTCACTGTTATGTTTCTGAACGTATCTAAAAACCCTTACTTCATAGTAAAAGTAGCAAATTCATATCTGTTTTATATTAAGAAAAATGGGCCATGAACAAATAGTATAGTTGTTATACTTGTCATTGTGGAAGCAAAACTTAATGTAAGCGAAGTTGTGTTGCTACAAAAACAAAAAAACACTCACACACGTAAATATTAATTTAAACTAAGAAATGCAGCCAGTTTGATATCTGTAACTTGTATAGCAATAAAAATATTATGTTCTTTTTAATGGTTAATGTAGCCCACAGCCAGTAAGGGCATAAATGGGATCTGAATTAAAACAGGGTATCAAAGATCTTAATGTTTAGGAGTGGATGGAAAAGTTAGTCACAGTGGACTGGTGGGTAAAAAATAAATATTCATGTTGCGTTGTCATCGGATAGGGGGAGCTCAAATCATATACTAGCTTGGATTTTTTTATTTTTAGTATTGAAATAAGACATACATCAATAGAAAAAATACAGTCAAAGTGATATGCACATATACGTAAAAAGAGTGATAAGTTTCATAAATTAAAATTTTTTGTGTGATCAACACAAGTAAAAATGTTCAATAATCAGATAATAAAGATCAAGTATACTTCTAAAAATCAAACAACGAATTACAAATTTGAGAAGATCGGACCAAAGCAGTACAAAATCTGTGCCTATATTTTATTTGTATTAAGTGTGCACTTTCTTTGCCTTATTTGTTTATCGTCAAGGTTCAAATAGAAGCACGTGCTGGTTGGTCTGTTTCTGAACTTGTAAGTTTTATATTATTTTTTCCCTTCTTGTTTCTTAACAGATTATCGACTCATTTATTGTTTATTAGTTTGCTGGAACCAATGTCAGTTTTACTGTTTAAATAAATACATCAATTAATAGTAAGTATATATATTTTTTTATAGAAAATATAAGAAATTATTCGAAAACAGTAGAGGCACCAGAGGAGCAACAAGCTGACGACATGACTGTAATCAGTGCAAGCCACGCTCAAGGAGTACGAAGCTATATTCCTGAATCGTTGTCTCAGACCCACGAAGGTTATGATACCAATCAGAATGATGGACGCCGCAAAATTGAAATAGACTTCGCCTCCAACCTTGTGGATGGGATTGAAGTTGGAGAAAAATACCGAGGGATTCAGAAGCCTCAAGTCGATTACGAAAACTCCAAGTCGGCTTCTCAAGCGCTCGAAGTAGACCGGCTGTTTCAACCAATGAACACAGTAACGATCACCACGCCACCTAGTCCTCGTTTTGTTACATGTAAAGAGTTGGAATGTGAATCTGGTGGTGCTTGTATCCCTGACCCGTCGACAGAGGGCGTAAAATGTAGCTGTCCTTTAGGAAGAGGAGGAATCTATTGCGAAACAGGTTAATATATTTGTGTTTTTTATTAACCGTAATATAGTATCAAAATTAGTTTGAAATAATTTCGAAAAACTATCTTTATAGGTAGACATAAAAAAATTAAGCTTCTTTTAGTAAGTATAAATTTCTTGATTGCAATGATGTTTCAAAAGGTCATGAAGTTAAATTTCTAGTGATTATTTAAAATTAAAAACTCTTAGTTTTACCTTTCAACCTATAATGCTCATAAATACCAGAATTGTGCAAGAACTGAAGTAATCAACCCCCCTCTCATAGTTTTACAGGATAACTCGGGGGCGGATCCAGGATTTTACTATGTGTGTGTATTTTTCCACAAGGTTAAAAAAATCTCGCTTTGTATTAGATCTAAGGGTAGGGTTAAAACCCGTCAAAACACCCTCTTGACTCCTAGAATCTGGGTTTCGATACCCGTGGTGGACAGAGCACAAATAGCCCATTGTGTAGCTTTGTGCTTAGCTACAAACAAACAAACTCTTGACTCCACCCCTGTTACTTTACTCACAATTATCCGTGTCTTATGGTAA